GACAACAGCAAAACCAATGCCAATTTGGATCTCAGGCGCTTGCAAGAACTCCATTGCTCAGCAAATAGGCAAAGAACCTAATGAGGGATCAATTTCAAAAAATATATCAGTATAAAAAAATAGGTTGTTGGGATGATAAATAGATGCTACTTGTAGCATCTTCAGATTTTTAAGTTTCGTTGATGAAACCAAAAGCATATTATCTATCATTACTTCTCCACAAGAACAATGTGCTTTTTGTTTTGCAATTACAAGTTTCTTTGAATGATATCATGACAACAAATCAATTTTATGTCACAAACACACCATGCAAACCACTCATTATTCTTGGATCCGAACCTTCTTTCCACCAGATCAGATTTATGCAAATTCTGTAATCTAACTTAACAAATGAAATGCAGGGAAATCAGATACATAATCGTGTGAAAACTTTATATGCATGTATATTTCATAAAGATGTAAACTCAAGTGTTAAACTATTAGTAATTTACGAAATCAAATCCACATTTTGGAAGAAGACACATCAGTTATCGCATAAAAGGAAATCAGAAATCCTGTCGATTCCCTAAACCATTCACCTCCGAATAGAAGAATGTAATTAGTTGGAATACTAATCCAACTACTAATGGTGAGGACGCAGAAAACTGCTTTCATTCCGAATTAATATCCTAAATGTGCACATAGATCATGAGGCTTTTTCGTAACAACTTCTGAATCAAAATCAACTTTCTTAAGCGTTGATACATCAAATCCAGTTATCAAATAATCCGACAGAAACCATAGAGGAGTAGCATTACCTCAAATTTCTCCACCAGTTAGTGATCCACAACCTGAAAGTAAACAAAAACAATAATAAGTTGTGTAACAGATCTGCGAAGAATCAGAACAGGTGGAAGAAGGACGTAACATACCAGAAGGTGTGGGAATGAAGTGAGGAAGAAAGAAGCCAGAAATAGAGTAGATGATGAATCCAATGGGTCAAAGATGGGGGGTTTTGGAGGAACTATAATATATGTATGTCACTCACCGTACCTACTACCCCACTAACACTACACCAACTGGTGCAATCGTCGCCCGTGGTTTTTGATCCCTAGCAGCCTTTTTTAGCAAGAAAAAGGACCAATTAGTTGAAGTATTGAAGTGCCACCCACATTTGACCAAACTTTAATGTGTATTTATGGTTTCCACTTTACTCAACCAACCTTGATAAATGATTTTTTTTAAAGAAATTTGCTTAGATAGTCTAATTTTTTAGTAATTTAGTAAAAAATTGTAAAAAAATAGGGTTGCCAAAAATAACCAACGAAACCATATATGAGGCAAACACGCATCTAGTTTCATCAACTCGTCTACGCAATCATCGTCTCACTTTCGATTTTGTGTTATTTATAAAAAAAACATTTTGCCCATTTTCGAAGACACGAAATCGCGATGTCATATAGTCATTTGTGTTTTTCTCTCAAGTAGTGTGGGGTTTCCTCTCAAGTGGTTTGGGGTTTTCTCTCAAGTTGTATGTGAATGTACAAGTTGTTGATGCACGCCCTACGCATTAAAGACTTGTATCATCGCAGGTGACAGTTTCATTCATCATTTTTCTGATTCCCATGCAAACCTTATACAAATTATTTCTAAATTTCAACTTATATGATAAAAAAACTATGCATAAGATTACTTAAAACATTGTTTTATTGAACGACTTTTCCAGCCATCAAAGACACATAATTATTGTATCATTGAGTGTGAAAAATGAGGTAAAAATTTTTAAGGTTTAATTATATTGGACTAATGTACCACGAAACTGCAACCCATCTGACGAAACCGCAAACGAGAAACTATGTCAAACAAGGAGGTGACGAAATTGTAGGTGTGTTAGTCTCATCTCCGGTTATGTTTGTTATTTTTGGCTAAGTCATTAAGAAATTAGGTTGTTTTTGTAAATTTATATTTTTTGGCAATATTAATACATAATTAAGAGTTATTCACTAACACGATTATAATTGAAGATTTTACTGATAATTAAAACTAGACATAATTTGATGTAAATTTAAAGGAAATAACCTAAAAACATTTGTTTTGCAAAATAACCACCAACTCCATAATCGGATATTATAGACCCGTTTTGGTTGGGTCGCCCGCATGGTGAACCTGATTCATTACTTGGTCCCCTGTATATAGTGTTTTCGGAGAACTTAGTTCAGAATCGCATTTCGAATTCCATTTATCCTCTATTTCGAACATTTCAAA